AAATGTATGTCACATGACTACAGTAATCGTCTGTACTCTGCATGCATGACAAGACTGAACACCATAGCATGCATTTTTTAAATTAAATGTTGAATATATTTGTTGCTGCATTATTTGTAATATTATGTTTAACGTTAAATTGAATAGTAACATTAAAAATATTATGTTTACATTTATTAACTCAATATTATTATTAAAATATTATAATTAAAAATATATTAAACCTAATAATGAGTAAGTTTTAATAGAAGACACAACTGAGTTTATTTGAGTCGCCTGCAGCATGCTTGACAAGACTAAACCTGCACGCCACTCTTAATGCATGTCACATGCATGCCTGACGACACTCTGCATGCATGGCAACACCACAACATGCACTTCTAAGACAAGACTAAACTTGCACACCTCACATGCATGCTTGACACTTGATTTGCATGCATTTACAGGTCACATGCATTATTGACACTTGCTCTGCATGCATTTACAGGTCACATGCATTATTGACACTTACTCTGCATGCATTTACAGGTCACATGCATTCATGGATTAAAAATAGAGGTTATTTAACACTCAAACTCCTCTCATCCCAGCAAACTCTTATCATCCTCATACTCTCAAACTCTTCTCATCCCAGCTCTCAAATTCTTCACCCAGCAAGCTCTTCTCATCCCAACTCTCAAACTCTTCTTCACCCAGCAAATTCTTAAACCACAATGTCTCTACTCACAACGGACAACTCTCACCGAGGCACAGTTGATAACATCACAAAGTTTGTAAGTTTTTTTTGTCTATGTTTATGATCTTTAGTTCTCCTTTAAAACTAACAACATTTAATTTCTTTTGCAGGATGTATCAAGGTTTCGCTATTGTGTACATGACTACATACCACACGACCCTTTCATAGAGTGATACCTTGAAGCATGTGGGTTTGGTGATTTGATTAAAATAAAATCGTACTCACTTGATGCCAAGTTCATTCTAGCGTTGTTAGAACGCTGGAGACCAGAGACAAATACATTTCACCTACCTTTCAGTGAGAGTACTATAACTCTTCAGGATGTTTACATGTTGCTCGGCCTATACATCAACGGTAAGACCGTCAACGACAAAGTTGGTGTTAACGACCAACTATGCGAAGATTTACTGGGCGCCCCTCTTTGTGTGGACACAACTGAAGCAGAACGCGAGGGTCGCCCAAGGGGTCAAGGTATAAATCTTAAATACCTCAGACAACACTACAACAATATTGTCTTAAGTGAGGAGTCCATCGAGTATGAGAAAATACTCAAAACTCGGTGCTATATTATGATTTTGTTTGGTCATTTTTTATTTTCAGAGGGCACTGGAAATATTGTAAATATTATGTATTTATCGTTGCTACATAACATAAACAAAGTGTGCAAATATAGTTGGGGATCAGTTGTCCTCGCCCATCTATATAGTGCACTGTGTAAATATGCAAAAAAAAAATTCATGTACTTTTTATGGCTGCGTATATCTCCTTCAAGCGCGGGGTTGGTCTAGGATGCCAACGCTTGCTCCAGTCAACCGTAATCCGTTTACATTACCATATGCTAACAAGTAAGTTTATTTTCAAGACTATTTTACAACCAAAGTTTCTTTGTAACTTAATAATTTGTAAGATGTGTTTTAGATTCTAACTTATCTGTGTTTCTTTTTTTTATGTGGTCTGTTTCGGGGATGAATTATCAAAGATGTCCCAGGAACTCCATAATTGTGTACCGCAACCTCATCGAACACATTGGGCCAAATGGTGTAATTTATCTACCTTTACTTTGTCTAACTTATATGCATGAACTTGTATTTCTCATTGCGTATATTGTTATTGTAGTTTGTCTGGATGTCGTATGAGGGTCTCGAACATCAGCCCAACGCTGATGATGCTGCTATGTGAACATCCAAAACACCCATCATTAGGTTCACTACGGTGGAGATGCACCAAAGTGACCGGGTGAAGCTACAATTTGGGATGCATCAGGATATTCCAGATGCTCTGACGTCATTGGGACAGTGGCATCAATAACGGGTGGATTCACAATGGAGTGTTGGTCATTGGAAGGAGTTTGCGAAGGAGATGTGTCAGCATTGGAAGAACAGAAGGCAACACATCTTAACCGACCATATTGTAGAAGGGGCTAGGCCAAGTTATCAATATATGACTTGGTTTAGGTCGGTTACAATATCACAATCATTTCTATCTGAGCCGACCTATTTGATTGACCTAAGGCAACGTGCTTCTTCCTCAAACACACAACAATAATACAATGCCCAACATCCACAACAACAGCCTCACCGTGACCCGTATATGCCACCAACCCAATCACAACTACAACAACCTTACCAATATATCCCTGATACGTCTTTTGACCCTGCCCCTCCACCTATAGCCCAAATAACTCATTTGACCCTACCCCCTCCACATATTCACTGTTTGACTACCAAACCCCGCAACAACCAACACACCGTTTCCATCCCGATTCGATGTACGAATTCGGACAACCATATCGTTCCATACTCCACCCAACCTCCCCGACAATCCTACGAACACATGGGCATTGGGCTTAACTACGGAAGCGCCGTTGATAGTGGACCTCCCAGCTATTGGGGTCAAATGCTTCAAAATTCATCTGATACGCCGGGGCCGTCCCAACAAATACCTCTTCCACAACTCAACACCCAAAGACCGGACACACCTCAGCAACCTCGTGGTAGACCTTGTCGCCGGGCGCATCCTCCACCATGTGGTACCGGTGGTCGTTTAGATAGAGTCGGCCATTAGTTTTTTTTTTATCAATTGTAATTTATAGTCAATTATAAATTAATATTTTTACTATTTATTCCATTTATTTTTTTTAAATTATTTAAATTTCAATTAATTATAAAAAACAAAAAATATAATATTAAGTAACAAAAATACAAAAAAAATATGAAAAAAAAGTAACAAAAATACAAAAAAATACAAAAGAAAATGCGCAAACCCTAACTGAAAAAAAAATGAAAATGGGTTGATTCGCCAATTCAATTGGCGAACCCATTCAAATTGGAAGACCAGCTTGCCAGCCCAAATGGCGTTTGCTTGGGAAATGGCCTGAGTCGTCAATCCAAATAGCGATCCAAGGTTAAATCCTAACCATTTTCGTAATTATTTTCAATATTTAATTTAATTGGTTTTTTTTTTTTTTATAATTTAGTTATTCTCCTTTGGTGAATTCCTAAAACTTACTTCATCGTTTCATATTATAATTCATTAAATAAATTTTATTATAGATTAAATATATTATATATTAATTATTAAATTATTTAAAAAATAAATTTTATTTATAATATAAAACAGAGAGAATATATGATTTGGTTTAAAGTCGTAGCATAGTTTTGAGATTTCTAATTCATATGTTTTTTAATTAAATCCATCTTGTTTTATTTATGACTTCGGCTTGCCCATTTGACTGATTAGGAATTTCACATTTATAGCTTTGAATTAATTGATTTAGTGCCACTTTGTTTTAACTTTAAAAAATGGATTATTTTTTTTGTATTTTTTTAAATGAATTTTACAAAAAAAAATTTTAAAATATTATAAAAAGTTTTAAATTTATTTTTTATAAATTAAAAGACTAATTTTGACTTACCATAACATAAACATATATTATTGAAGAACAAATCATACTCAAAATCATGATTTTTTCAAAAAATTGTATTTCAAAAATATCTTTATGAAAAGTTATTTGAAATAACTTCAAAATTAAGTGATTTTTTAAAATTTTGATATTCAAATTTTTTTTTGATAAAATAATAAAATAACTAAAATAACATTTTAAAAATAACTATTCAAACTAAATTTTCATTTGAAATTTTTATCAAAAAATTTTTTATAATTTCTTTTACACTAAAATATATTATAGTATAAAAATCATTTTTAAAAAAAAGTTAAAACAAACGGATTCTTACTGATAATTACAAATCAATTAAAATAAAATAAATATGTTTCTAATTTTAAAATTGATAATTCTAGGCCAAAAATTAAAGTTTTATACTCTACCTCATTATTAGAATATTACTTAAACAAATCGATCATGAACTTAATTGGTAATCCTTTAAGAGATATAGTAAGCATTCCAATCCCAATATATTTTCCGTGTTATGAACCATCAAAATATAATTTTCAATAATTCATACCAATATAGTTTTGTTTGAATTTATCATTGTTATTAGCATAATTGATTTTCATAGTTTTTCTTACATCTACCTCTACTCTTTTTTCTTAAATTAAGAATCCTAGGACTTTTTCAACAAATATGCCAAAAACGCATTTAATCATATTCATTTTCCAGATATACTTTCTCATCTTATCAAAATATTTTCTAAAATGTAATAATGGTAATTTTTTATTTTAATTTTACCACAATAAACTTGCACAAAAACATCAATAAAATCATGAAAATCTAATTTGTTGCTATATGGTATGCTGCTCCTGTATTTTTTTAATTTAAATAAAATAAAAGTTTAATTGCAACTATAGTCTTCTTATTTTGTATTTTTTTTGGTGTTGATCCCTCCATTTTAAAAACCACCATTTTGGTCCCTTTTTAAGTTTTGAGTTTGATTTTAGTCTTCTCTCCAATTTGAGACATTTTTTTAATGATGTGGCGCTATCCAAGATGACGTGGCAATGCCAAGTCATTTTAAAATTAATTTGAGACTTTAACTATTGATTAGGATAATTAATTTATTAATATTATTTTCATTAATAAATAAATAAATTATTAATTTTTATATTTAATTAATTAATCAAAATTTTATATGGAACACTTTGGGCATAACCTTTTAGTTTCATATCTTTGGTCCATTTTTTTAACACACAATTGATTTGTTGTGTTTGTGTAAGATATATGAACACTAACAACATTTGTAATGAAAACAATGTGGGACTCACAATTAGAATTTTCTTCAACTGATTTTTTACTCTATTGTGTAATGGTTCAATTACACACTTCCTGCTTCTTTTTTCTCCAACTGATTTCCCTTAGACATTGTTTGCCTGCCCCATCAACTTTGTTCTTGTCCTGTCCAGCAAGATCAATAAGGCAAATTCTGCTACTTTTTGAACTACTGAAACCGTTTGTTGAGGCTCCCTGAAGCATCAATCAATAAAATCAGACATGGCAATTGAGCAATAGAGAGAATTAACAGTATAAAAACCAGTCTTCAATTTTGAACAAGAGAAATGACAGTACCAAAGTGAATCATGTTAAAACAAAATTACATTGGAAATACCTTACACCAAGACTCAATCACAATAGTGAAAATGATATGAGATCTAGAGCTCTTAGAATTTAAGGTTGTTGCTCTAACTTTTCTGCTAGAGAGGCCCTGAAGCATACGAAAATCAAATCAACTTGGCTGATTAAGAATTTGCATATTCACGAATCAACAATATTTGCTTTCAAGTTTCCCTACATTAATTAGAATTTGTGTCACATCATTATAACTAGTGACATATTCCTCACTCAGATTCTCTAAGGACAGTGCATTTTTGGAGTCATCCTTCACCTGAGATAATTTGGACCAAGCCATTATTATAAAGAATGCAGCAATGAAAACAAAATTAAAAGTAAATAATATTTTAATGACAAAAACAGTACCACAAAAGTAGCAGCCATATTGCTTACCTCAAGGTTCCGCTAGGTTGAATCAAGTAAATCCCCAATTTCTTCATTGTATATCTATTTCAAACAACAACAGAAAAAGATCATTATCGGAATCAAACAACCCCCGAAATCACCACAAGCCCAGAATGGAAGAAACTTCACAAAGAATTACCTCAAGAAAAAAACACCGACACTGATAGTTGAAATGTTTCCCCTCAGATATGCGTTGTTACTAACATAGTTATTCCAAAAATAGTCAAAACTAAAAAAAACAGAAAGCAAAATTCAAAGCATTAGTAGTTTAAGCAGAAGGTAAAACACACATTTTCAAGCTAACATTCGAAATATCCGAGGTACAATTCCTTTGTGACTTTGGGGTGAAGGCTCCTCAAACATGGCAAGAAATCAGTTGGAAAAAAAAGAAGCAGGAAGTGTGTAATTGAACCATTACACAGTAGAGCAAGAAATCAGTTGGAGAAAATTCTAATTGTGAGTCCCACATTGTTTTTATTACAAATGTTGTTAATGTTTATATATCTTACACAAACACAACAAATCAATTGTGTGTTAAAAAAATGGACCAAAGACATGGAACTAAAAGGTTAGGCCTAAAGCGTTTCATATAAAATTTTGATTAATTAATTAAATATAAAAATTAATAATTTATTTATTTATTAATGAAAATAATATTAATAAATTAATTATCATAATCACTAATTAAAGTCTCAAATTAATTTTAAAATGACTTGGCATTGCCACGTCATCTTGGATAGCGCCACATCATTAAAAAAAATGTCTTAAATTGGAGAGGGGACATAAAATCAAACTCAAAACTTAAAAGAGGGACCAAAATGGTGGCTTTTAAAATGGAGGGATCAAAACCCAAAAAAATGCAAAATAGGGGGACCATAGTTGCAATTAAGCCTAAAATAAATGTTCATTCAAATGTTTCTAAGAACCCTGGGTACATCTTCCCCTAAGATGAAGTTATGGTCATACATTTATCCATTAAGCATAAAATTTCATTACTAGATGAAGAATCTATTAATATATCGGCTATAGGCATGATATATTTATCTTTAGAGTATCAACATTTAAATCTCTAAAATTTATATATACTTTTAAAGAAGTATTTTTCTTAATAACAAAAACGATATTAGATACTTAGTCCAAGGTATCTTACAATCTTTACCTAGATCATAGAAACAACCTTTGGTACAAAACTTCTTAGACTTTATTTAATTTTATTCCTTTCTGGCATCAAGGGTGGTAGAACACCTTTCTGATATCAAAGGTAGTATGTGTTTTACCAAATTATTTTAGACTTGGTATTTCTTTATAGTCCCAAGTGAAATAGTCTTTATACTCTTGAGAAATATAATTCTATATTAAGGAATTATGAAATTTTTTCTTGGGTCAGACATTTCAAACTCCTTGCTCATATCACCTTTGAAATCTTCGATCTCTTTCTTGCAGCTACCTGTTATCAATAAGTCATTGACATAGAGACATAGTATAAGCAGTTCACTCTTGCTTCTTCTAACATATACTTCATGCTCAATTGTGCACTTTACAAATTTCTTATCTCTTAGAAAACTATCTATCTTCTTATTTCAATCTCTTGGAACTTGCATAGTCCATACATGGCTTTATGTAGCCTGTATACCTTTCCTTCTTAGTCTTCCTTCAAAAATGCATATTTCACATCCATTTGACACATATACCAGTTATTCATGTTTGTTAGGTCAACAACCAACTTGATTGTTTCAATCCAAGCAACTGATGCAAAGACTTCATAAAATTCGATTTTTTCTCTCCGAAGAAATTCTTTAGCTACAAGTCGTGCATTGTGTTTGGTTATTTCTCCTTTTGGATTCAGCTTCACTTTATAAACTCACTTCACATCAATTTCCTTCTTTCCTTGTGGCAATTTAACTAGTGACCATGTATTATTAACTTCTATGAACTTCAGTTATTCATTCATCGCATGCATCCATTTCAAGTCCTTCAATGCCTCAGTTACATTGAATGGCTCAGTATCTGAATAGAAAGCATAATGAACAAGCTCACCTTCATTATTGACCACAGCATCTAATGTAATCACACATTTCTACAACCTTACAAGCATGTTTCTTATTCTTTAAGGTCTGCTTGACCTCTGACTTCTTTTTGTTGAACTTCTCTGTCAGCCTCACTAGTTGGTTCATCACATAGGATTTTCATTGAATCCTTATTGACATTGTCTTCCCAATCCCACTCCTTCAGCTCACTCATGATCACACCCCTGTTAATTATAACTTGATTGTTCACTGGGTCAAACTGTTTGTATCCACCAGTTGAGTGATATCCTATCAAGATCATCTAGCATAACTTGTTATCTATTTTCTTTCTCATCTGGTTAGGCACATGTCTATGTGTTATGGATCTGAACACCTTCAGATGACTTAAGCTAGGCTTGACATTATGTCAATATTCTTCTAGTGTGATTCCTTCTAGCTTCTTAGTCGGACATCTATTCAGGATGTATGTGGTAGTCGACACAACCTCACCCTATAATCCATTAGGTAAGTTCTTGCCTCTTAGCATACTTCTAACCATGTTCATGATGGCTCTATTTTTCCTTTCTAGAATTCCATTTTTCCGTGGAGTGTATCGTGGCACTGCCTCATGCATAATCCCCTATTTCTCACATAAAGCAGTGAATCGTTGGTAACACCCCAAATTTAATTAGAATATTTTAATTAATTTATTTAATTGAGAATATTCGTATTTTGGTGGTTTTCAGTGGTTTTGTGGATTATTGGGAATTATGCATTTTTGGATTATTTATTTAATTAATAGTATACAATATGGAAACATTAGTATTATTATTAGTTAAAATAAATATGAGTGAAATAAGGGTAATTTGGGCATTAAGAGGAGTTAGTAAGGGTGTTATGGGAAAAGCCCAATTGTGTGACCCCAGACTAGGTTTGACAAAAAGGAATTCTAAAGGAAATTAAGATTCATTTTGTTAACCGTGAAAAGTATTGAGGTCAGAGCTCTGAGGAGAAGATTGGAGGCAGGAGCTTCGAGAGATTCCCTGAAAGATTGAGAAGGCATCGACAACTAAGGTATGGGGAGTATAGCCTTTTATAATTTTCCATGTGTGACTTTCAGTGTATTTAAGGTTGATTTAAGGGTTTAAAAGTTTTGAGGCGAATAATGAGAAAAAGGGATTTTTGGCCTTCGTGGCCTAAAATCGATTATTGAGAATATTGACCGTAGGGATTTATTTGGGAAAAAGGGAAACTAGGCCTTCGTGGCCAAAAACTATGATTTTACTCTAACCCTGTAGGGAAATTTGATAGTGAGTAACTCTGATATTTGTGTTATTTTACCTTAATAATTGTGGGGTAAAAAAGGGTGTTACATTAGTGGTATCTGTAACACCCCGAATTTTAATTGGAATATTTTAATTTATTTATTTAATTAAGAATGTTCAATTTTGGTCATTTTCGGTTAATTGGTGGAGTACTGGAAAATGCACATTTTTGGGTATTTATTTGATTAATAGCATATAATATTAACTTATTAGTATTATTATTAATTAAAATGAATATAAGTGAAATAAGGGTAATTTGAGCATTTGAAGGAGTTAGTAAGGGTAAGGGGGAAAAGCCCAATTTTTGAGGCCCAAGACTAGGTTTGACAAAATTGAGTTCTGAAGGGAAAATTAGAATTCATTTGTGTTAACCGTGAAAGTTTGGTGGCCAGAGCTCTGAAGGAAAGGTTGGAGGCAGAAGATCCCAAAAGTTAATCGTGAAAGTTGCGAATCGACTAAGGTATGGGGAATATCGCTTTTCATGATTTTCTATGTATGTCTTTCGGTGTGTTTATGGTGGGGTTAAGATTTAAGGTATTTTGGGTTGATGGTGGGAAAATTAGGGAAATTGACGATAAGACTATGAGATTATGGTTTGTGATATGTATCACTGAATATTGAATATCTGATATGAGGATTAGGAAACCTTAGACCTTCGTGGCCAAAACTATGGGGTGACATGCGTCCGACCTTGAAGGGATAGAGATAGGTGATATGAGAAATTATGATGTCTTTAGGGTAATTGCAGGAAAATTGTGGTTTAGGACACGAATATGTCCCGGGATTGGCCTAATAAATCGTAGGTTTTGTATCTTTATCGCCATAGGACCTTAGGGATGATTTTGGGAGATTTTTGGGGCATTTGGTAAGTGAATCGTATGAGTATTTGAGTGAAAATCAGTTCTGGTGCATAGCAGTTTTTTCTGTCATCGCACTGTTCGCCTAGCGAACCATTTTTTTTCCAGACTCTCCTAGCGAAGAAAGCTTCGCCTAGCGAGCATGCCAGTGAACGTAGCAGAGTTTCGCGAAATTGATCATGTGCAGCGATGCCGTGATGTTTGAATCTGTTATTTCTGTGATGGATTACCATGAGTATGACAGTGGGTTTTGGGTGAGATATACATGATGACATGATGGTTTCTATGATGTATTGATTGAATTAACATGATGAAATTACCATGATTTGATGAATTATGTGATAACATGAGATATGATGATTTATGTGATGATGATGAATATGATGAATGATGATTCACCATATGTTGTATTATGAGGATTATTATTGTGACGTATGCATCATGCATTCATGTGCATCCGGACTTCGGTTCAGGACCTCGATTACTTTGGCTTCAATCCCACTGTATGGATGTGAAGTGTTTTGATGTGCTCTAGTTCTCAAGTAGAATCGATCCTATTGATGGGGATCTATGGAGGGTTGATGGCCCAGTGTCCATCGAGCTGTGATGATTGGTACCACATGCATTGATTAGTGTCACATTACATTTATGAGTCTTTTTGTATAAATTATGACGTTGTGGCCTTTTGAGGCATATTTGAGGAAT